GTGACAGAGCAAGAGTCTGTCTCCAAAAAAAAAGAAAAGGGAGATGACATATATTTAAATTTTTGTCACTATGAGGTGTGCATATGTGGGTGTTGGGGGATAATAGGACCAGATTTTTTTTCTTCCACAGAATGTGAAAAAACAATAGCTGTGCATAAACGGGTACTGCTGTGGGTATGGTGTAAGAACATTTCCTTAGGAATGATTAGGACTATTTGAACTTCACAGTGTAAGGGAGAAAGCACTTGTTTGTGGGTGGTCTTAAACTTTTAGATGGCAAAGAGCCAATAGGCAGGGCTAGATTACAAAGGAGAGTGCTTGAGTCTCTGTGATTAACCAAGGAGACACCGTTACATGAAAACAAGAACAACACCTCACATCGAAGAAGAAATAGTCCAAACTCTCTTTATAAAATGAATGGCTCTGGCTGTCGGCTCATTTTGTTGCTCTCTGTGTGCATGTATTTGGCATCGCCTAGAAAAGCATTTGAAAAAATATGTATATTTTTAAATGACCCTTTGGTACCTAAAGGCTGAGAATAGGGTGTCTTGCTCTCGCTGGCACAACTTCCTGAGCTGTGAACAGACCTAGAGAAAGTCCAGTGGTAACTCCGAGATGAGAAGTGCCTAGAAAGATGGGTCCAAAAGCGGAAGACATGACCTTGAAGAGTCTGACTGGGAGGAAAGGAGACCTCCTCAAACCATGAGTGGCACAGACCACGTTAGACCATGAGTGGTACAGAAAAGGTAAGCGTGGATTATTATGTTTTTAAACATATTCTGAAATTCTTGAGTGAGGGAAATTTGGATCAGATGAAAGGAAATGCCATGTTATGGCACAGATAATAAAAGTAAAGAAGCTTGTTACTTTCAAAATGTGGTCCTGGCAGGAGATATACATAGATCAGAATGGATCTAAAGGACTCGCAGCTGCCAGGAGAAGCTTGGACCTACCTGATCTTTAGGCACAGAAAACAGTGCTCCTTCCAATGGACACCCTTGGGGCCATTGCTGCCAGGAGAGCCCAAACTCTGGGCCAGACTAAGAATTCCCATGGGTTTGACTGTGGGGGCTTCTGATTTGTTTGTGTCCTTCCACCCTACTTCCTTCCTTTGCTGGAGCCTCCATCAGTGCTTTGGTTTCTAACAAATGATATGAACAGATCAGAGTCTGTTTCAATGTAGAACATTATCTAGGGAGGAGGGGAAACATGCCCAATGCCATTTCATTCATTCATTCATTCATTCATTCATTCATTCGTTCGTTCAATGAATATGATTAAGCACCTACCACGTGCCAAGTGCCAGGAATGAAATAAAAAACTATCATGATCCTCAGGGGCATCAACAATAAACACAACAAATGAATATGTAATTATGAATTATGGCAATGCTACAAGGCAAGGAACACCAAGCTCTGAGGGGAAATAAGTGTGTGTGTGTGTGTGTGTTTGTGTGTGTGTGTCTGTGTCGTGGGGCTGGGCAAAGACTAGAAAAAGCTGGCCAGAAAAAGACTCCCTGAAGAGGAAATAGTTAGTCTGGGAATTAAAGGGTGAGTGGGACCCAGCTATGCCCAGTGTGGGGAGAATATTCCCAGCAGAGTAAAAATGTGTACAAGGGTCCCAGGGTGGGAAAGAGCTTGGTGTGTTCAAGGGGTAAAGAGACCCATGTGGCTGAACTTGGAGCAGAGATGGGCGGTGAAGTGCAAGTGGAAGTGGAAGGTCAGGCAGAGGCCAGGTTACGCAGGAATGGAAGCTTGTAGGTCACAGCGGGGAGTTCGGATGTCAGATGAAATCCAAATGAAATGAGGGAGTTTAAGTCATTTATTCTTTTAAAAAATTAGTGATCCATCTTTTAAAGTAATTGTACTTGGACGTGACTGGCTATCTCCATTAGGACTGTGAAAATGTGCTGCTCTTGTGTGTAATTCATTACTGAGATATATCACTTATTCTCCTTTGGCTGTGGTAGGAATCTCCGATAGCTGGAAAGCTCTTGAGAAAGGGGGACCAGTTGGTAAATGGGCAAGGACTTGATAATTCCTTGCACTCTGAATCTATATCCATTATCTCACTCTCCAATGAGCTGAGAGCCAGAGGTGCCTGCCAGGCCTTCAGCAGAGCTTTTAAGTGTCTATTTTCTGTCTGTGCTCTCTTCTGTCTGTGCTCTCTTCTGTCTGCTTCTCTGACTCTGTTCTCCACTCCTCTATGGTGCTTGAGATCACCTCACAAATAAATTGCTTGCATTTAAATCCACGTCTCACAGGCTGCTTCTGGGGAGACCCAACCCGAATATTAACTTGAGTTTAAACAAAGAAGAAAAGAAAAGAGAAAGCTTACTGAGCTTCTTGGCACCCATGAAATCTAGGCTTTCTTCTCCTAAAAGGGGTGGATGATGTCATCAAATTCTAACTCTGAAGCAACTGAGAAGCTGTGACAAACTTGGAGTCAAAGGCCACCATGCCACTCCTAGGTGCCACAGTCTATCGGCTCCATTAACAGCTGGTGAAACTCAAGTGAAGATTGAGAAGGTCAGATTATAAAAAGAATATTTTGATATGCTGTGAATAGATGTGAATTAGATAAGCTAGTGGGAAAGGGGACACGAATACTATTGGAATCGTCCAGAAGGAAATCTGTGTCAGGCAGCCATAATAATTGACTTGTAATAAATCTGTCAGAAGTTTCCTTACTTCCCCTATCCTCCATGACCAAAGATCTCTTGTGATCTATGATGGCTTGCAATCCAAATAATCAAAAGTTCACAAGCTAACCAAGAATAGAATCTTTGGTGCAGTATAGGAATAAATACTTCTTAATTTATTTCATCTTCTGACACAAAATATTTTGTGAAACACCTTTTTATTCCTGTAATTCTGAGTGAGTGTTTTTTATTTTGTCTCATAATGAAGCTATTGAGATGTCATTGTTCTGGACCCTACCACTTTCTGATTCTCTTTATGGAGCTTTTAAAATCATGGATTGGAAAAATAGGATATAGCGTTTTGCTAAGGACAAACTGTAACCAACAGGAACAACTTGATGCAGTGATTGATTCTGTAATTTTGAGGACTGCAACTGTGAGACCAAACCAAATACAAGAAACAAATACTAGACAAGAGACACATATGATGATGGAATCCTGGGAGGCTAAGTTCAGTCAGAAAACCCTCCCCAGTATCATCTTTTACCATAAGAACTGAGTCTAACTCAAGGTCATATTACTAAGTTCTGAGTTAAGGCTATGGCAAAATTGTATTTTATAGTGATGTCCAAATGTTAATCTTTGAAACAAGTGCATTCTTTTGTATGCCTTATTAACTATTGTTCAAGCCTAACACATCACAGCAGGACTAGCTAGACTCAAGGCTGAAGGTGGCAGAAAAGAGGTATTGAAATAATGAAGGATAGAAGGAATCCTTCTCAATCAGCTCGCAGCCTAGGGGATCTCTTTCAATGCCTTTTGCTTCGATGGGCCAATGAAATTATGAAATCATGAAAATAAAAAGGGAAGGGCTAACAAGAGCCAACAAAAGCAGGAAGTGACCTGTTAGTGGTTTTCTGAAAGATGTAGGTATGCATGGCGGATATTGGGAATGAACTCTAACGTGGCTCATTCTGGCTTCTTTAGGTAGTCGACTTGTGATACCTATAGGTATTTAGTTGATGAATGAAAGCATGTTTTAAACTAGTTTGGAAATTTAAAAAATACTGACATGTTTATGTTGCTTGGGACCCTTTTTATGTCAGGGGTAGCTATGTGCTGCCAAAAACTATAAATGCAGAAGTTCAAATCAAGCTTTCAAAGAAGTCAGAGTGCTAATTCTTGTGGGAAACACTATGAATTGGAAAGTACGAGGATGACAGGAAAGTGGATCACACTTCAAGGGAAAAAAGGTTTGGCATCTAGGTCGTGGGCACGTCTTCTGTCTTCTGGTTCTTTCCTTTTCTTACGTTTAATTTTAAATCCTGAAATAATTCAATGTAAAAGCTGATTACAGTCTGAGACACATTAGAACTTTGAATGAGAAAGTTAAATGTGACGCCATATTGATTTTATGGTCATGGTGAGGAAATAGCATTTTTAAATTACATCTTCAGATTTGGTAAGTGGACTTCAGAATCAAGGAAGGAGAATGGCTTTAGTTGTCCATCAGGGGAATCCTAATACGTATTGCTGGACTCCAGGGAGCAGCCCAGTGCACGGCTGGCTGCCGAGAAACCAGCTGAGCCCCACGCCGACCAAATTGTGTGGAAAAGCGTAGACCAACAGCACAAAGACTCCAGGGCCAGATTCTTGGCCTGACTCTGCCTCTTCATGCGTGACCGTGAATACTCTTTACCTCTCTGGGCCCTGGTGGCTCATCTCTAAACTCCAACCCTCATAGTTTACAAGTCTACAAGTCATGGAGAAAGAAAATAGAGTAAACAGGAGAAACTTAAAGTATAGGGGTCCCTATGCATGGCCCTAAGCCCTGTTTCTTATGAAGACACATTTGCTGAGAAGAATTGACCTGGGTAGGTGATGGGATTGTTGGTGGGTGAAGTGCATTTTCTTTTTCATACCTTCTTTTTTGTTTATGTTGTCTATGATGAGAATGTCTTGTTATAATAAAAATGTTATGGGCAGGGGCAAATAAAGTTAATATCAAGGAAAAACAAAAGCAAATATCTGATCTCGGCCCAGGGAGTATGAGAAATTCCCCTGAAAGCATCCGTCTCTTCTGCTTGGGTGTGTTTTTCCCTGGGTCAGACCCACATTTAGGATCCACGGGTATCCAGCTGCTTCTAAGGGCTACCAGGTTATCAATTCACCATCAGGGTGGGCAGGTAGTGTCAGTGTCAACTGGGACCTGCTGAGACTTTGTGTGCATCTCCTGATACAGGGCCTGGGGCCAGGCGAAGTTTACATGGGGCTAAACTCAGCTGTTTGTGTTGGCGGGAACAGCCTGACAACCTGGCGGGATTTACTCAGGTGAGCGTCCTTTTGTGCTGTTTTTCAGCTCGCCCATGCTTCGTGGGGGAATGGAGCCCCTGGAGTGGTTGTGCAGACCAGTGCAAGCCTACAACCCGTGTGCGGAGGCGCTCTGTGCAGCAGGAGCCTCAGAACGGTGGGGCGCCCTGCCCACCCCTGGAAGAGAGAGCCGGCTGCCTGGAGTACTCCACCCCGCAGGGCCAGAACTGCGGGCACTCCTATGGTACTGATGTTTTCATGGTTGCTGCCTTTGTTATCTGTGATGACTTTTTGACCACTTCATCCCATAAAAGGCCATATGCTGTGCCAGGGAAAGTTCCATCCACCACAGGGAGTGGGATGGGCCAGGCTGCCCAAAGTAGATAGGAAGCTCAGGAAATGCTTAATAAAGGAATTATGGCCAGTTGTGCAAACGCCTGCCTTTCCCTCACTTCCCTTCGTGTGTTTTATAATCCGATGGCCCATTCTCATTGTGCATGGGCTCAGTAATGAAATAAACCGCATGCTTGTGGTTTTGAGTGAACTCAATCAAGCTAGTCATGAAGGACTTTAGATAGGAGGATGACATTTCACACAGCATAGTAAGTGTCCAGGAAGGATAACGCTATTTCACCTTCCACTGCAATTCCTGTTTCATTATGCACACTCACACATGTGGGAAAATCGCAGAAAAATCACAGAATTCTAAACAATGATAAAATGATTGTTTTATTATTATTGTTATTATTATTTATTATTACTATTTTTGAGATGGAGTCTCGCTCTGTCACCCGGGCTGGAGGGTAGTAGCATGATCTTGACTCACTGCAAGTTCCGCCTCCCGGGTTCATGCCATTCTTCTCCCTCAGCCTTCCAAGTAGCTGGGACTACAGGCACCCGCCACCAGGCCCAGCTAATTTTTTGTATTTTTAAGTAGAGACAGGGTTTCACCGTGTTAGCTAGGATGGTCTCGATCGCCTGACCTCGTGATCCACCCGCCTCAGCCTCCCAAAGTGCTGGGATTACAGGCGTAAGCCACTGCACCCGGCGTTTTATTATTATTTTTAAATGATTCCTTTTACCTGCCTCTCCTCTCAAGACTGGATTGGGGCTAAAGTAATTTGAAAAGATCACTCTGGTTTTGGAGTGGCCAATGGAGGGGCCAGGAATCGGCTCATTAATGAGCCAGAGACCGTACAAGGCTCACAGAGAAATAAATGAAAAAGTTAATGTGTTGATCTGCATTGAATCCAATAGGGCAAACACTGCCTTCTCAGGATAGCAAAAACCATATGTTTCTCATAGGAATGTGGAAATTTCATGTCAACACAATCCTTGTAAAGCCATTTTGTTCCTTCTTTTTTTCCACACACGAATATTTATTGAGAGTCTACTTGATGCCAGGTGCTGGGCTGGGCACTGGGGTCACGATGGTGAGAGAAGTTGATGTGGAGCCTGCTGTCAGGTAGATCATAGCCTAGTGAGAGGGGTGCAATCATCAGATAATCCAGGGAGTTAATGGATTTACAGCTGCAGTAATTGGTGCAACCTGTAGAAAACAAGTGAGAGGTGCAGGGAGCTCTCAGCGGGTGTAATCAGGTGATTCCCCTTGGTCTTGAGGGAAAAGGAGGAGGAGGGGCTTCCCTGGAGATGGGGCTGAGGTATGTAGACTGCCCAGGCAGGCAGACTAGTGCGGTTAAACCTGATGGCCAGGTGTAGAGGGTTTGAGGGATTTGGAAGCTGATCAAGGGAAAAGCTGTATCCACGAGAGGCAGTAGCACAGCAAGCTTTACTGGGCAGTGCTTGGACAGGGCTGCATGAGAGGGGCCGCCCTCACAGCATGAGACTTTTCAGAGGCTTATGGTGAGCTGGGGAGAAGGGCACAGCAACTCCTGGGGGAGAGGGAGACTGCAAAGGGGCCTTAAATGTCAAGGTGAGGTCATCCAGCAGCACAGTGGGGAGTCTCTTGGTCAGAGACCTCAGAAGGGCAGCAGCATCTTGGGGTCTGATAACACAAGGCCTATCAGTGGCCAACAGATGCTGGGTATAGTTTCACAGGTGTGCAGGCAGGCAGGCCTAGGTGGCTAAAAATCTGCCTATTTGGCTATTTAAAAACAGTTGCATGTGTAAAAAATTTGAATTTTGTGCCAGCATGTTTGCGAGCTAAAGGGTCTTAGCCTAGTGTGAGGAATAAGCATCTTTGGCTCTTTTATGTAACATGGGGGAGCGCAAGGCCTGCACACAATTGGCAAAGGAAGGTTGGCGTGTGGGGCGCACAGAGAACACCCTATTTGGGATTCTGGGCTTTATTTTTGGGGTGTTCTTTGCAGGGGAGAAGATCACTCTGGTAGTGGAGTGGCAAGTGGAGGGGCCAGAGTGTTGTCCCCCATTGATGCGGAGGTCATATTAAGGTCACAGGGAGATCACTGAGCGCTTCAGGCATGGTTGCTCACAGACATATGCCCAGTCGCTTTCAGAGACACTGCACAAACGGCTCGGGGAGGAAGACGCTGTGGGACATTGTGGATGTTTTTGGTGGTTCTTAAAAGCCAGCGCCAACCTATCAGGAAAAGCAGCCCACCTACTCCTGTGCCGTGCCTGACTGCTAGAGGGTTCCTTCAGCACATCAGGCTCTTCAGTGGGGCACCAGGCTGTCGCGCTCCCCTTCCCAGCCCTGGGTCTCTACCCAGGACAATGCAGGAAGTTGTTAGCGACTATGTCTTAGCATATCTGTACTGAACAGCCTCCTTCCCTACTATCATAAAATAAAAGATGTCAGCTTGGGAAGAGAGGAGAAATCTCTACTTGAGGGAGGGCGGCTGGCATTTGCAGTCCTGACTTTGGTCCCCAGCATTCCCCTCCTGTTGGAGATGTCTTGGTGATGATTACTCCTGTCACAAGCTAGTTGGGGAAGACAGGACCCCTCCAACAACCCTGTCTGGTGATTCCTAACAGGTGGTCCTGGAGCAGCAGCATCAGGATCTGCTTCCTCAGCCTCACCCACCCAGACCCATGAGATCATAATTCCTGCATGTGGGCCCAGCACTCTGCATTCTAGCAAGGCTTCCAGGGGCTTCGGATGCTCACTGGAGTTTGAGAGCCACTGCTGTAGCCCAAGCGTGACAGATACCCCCCTGTCATAGTTGGGTCACCTAAGTAGCACTTTCCGGAAGGCAGAAGTTCCCAAAGCGTATCCTCTTTTATTAGAATAGTTGTGCAAGAAAAGGGATTAGTAGGAAAATATGGGGTAAATCAAACAGTTTTCGCTACCAAAGAACTTTTCAGAGCCTTTATTATGTGGATCTGCATTTTTATTCTATAAGAGAGAGAGAGGATTTGCAGTATTTTCCCACTTAATTTGATTATATGACCTCCCTTTCTATGGAGCGTCCCACTAAAATCGTTCATGTGCTGTGGAATGCTCTTTGGAAAATGATGGTTTACTAGAGGAAAACAAGAGGGACATGAGAGGCAATCACGTGAACATCCAATTTGGTGGATTCTCCATGGGCCCCAGGCCCTGTTTCACTCCAGGCACTATGCATTCACTTATGGGTTTCATTAACTTAACACTCACTGAGCACCTCCTATGTGTGCCAGTACTGTGCTAGGTTTTAGAGATCCAAACTTGATTAACAAACATATCACAGCTAAATAGAACTCACGGTGGTGAGCTCTGGAATAGAAGGAAACACAGGTTGGCGTGGGAGCATGGAGAAGCAGCCGACACTCAACCTGGAGGCTTTCATCCTGCTGCATGATCACCTGTGTCCCTGTTACTGCCTCCCACCCCCACCGGACTTCCTGTTCACAGATCAGGCACCTTTGTGGTGCAGCACACGAATCCCTAATGTTTGCATAGCAGAGAGATCTTACAGACATCATTGGTTCAGCCTTCGTAGCAACCCCGTGGAGTGTATTCATTTTCTATGGCTGCTGCTACAAGTTACCCCAAATTTAGTGGTTTAAAACAACACAGATTAGGCGGGGTGTAGTGGCTCATGCCTGTAATCCCAGCACTTTGGGAGGCCGAGGTGAATGTATCCCCTGAGGTCAGGAGTTCGAGAACAGCCTGACCAACATGGTGAAACCCCGTCTCTACTAAAAATAAAAAATTAGAAGGGTGTGGTGGCATATGCCTGTAATCTCAGCTACTTGGGAGGCTGAGGCAGGAGAATTGCTTGAACCCGGGAGGCAGAGGTTGCAGTGAGCCAAGATTGTGCCGTTGCACTCCAGCCTGGGCAAGAAGAGTGAAATTCTGTATCAAAAAAACAAAACAGATTTATTATCTTACGTTTCTGAAGATCAGAGTCTGACATGGGTTTCTTTGGGCAAAAATCAAGGTGTCAGCCGGGCTACAGGCCTTTCTGGAGGCTCTGGGGGAGACTCTTCTTCCTTGCTTTTTCCACCTTCCAGAGGCTGCCCGCATCCTTTCCTCACTGCCACTGCCCTCTATCCTCATAGCCAGCAACGGTGCATTTCTCTGTCCCTTTCTTCTGTTGCCACATCTTTTTTTTTCTTTTTCTTCTTTTCATATAAGATGGAGTCTTGCCCTGTCACCCAGGCTGGAGTGCAGTGGTGCAATCATGGCTCACTGCAACCTCTGCCTCCCAGGTTCAAGCAATTCACCTGCCACAGCCTCCCAAGTAGCTGGGATTACAGGTGCCTGCCAACACACCCGGCTAATTTTTGTATTTTTAGTACAAATGGGGTTTCGCCATGCTGGCCAGGTTCTGACCAACTCTTTCTAAGGCTCCTGTGATTACATTGGGTCCACCTGGAAAACCCAGGCTATGCTTCCTATTTTAAGGTCAGCTGAGCAGCAACCTTAATTCCACCTGTAACCTTAATTCCTTGTTCCCATGTAATATAACATATTCACAGGTTCTGGGGATCAGGACACGGACATCCTTGGGGTCACAGTTCTGCCTCCACAGAGAGGTAGGACAGAGTCATTATCCTTGGTTTACACCTGAGGACATTGGAGTTCCAAGAGGTGACAGCACGTGTGAAGGATTACTGGAACTTAAACCTGGATCTCCTGGCTATAAGTCCTGTGGGATTTTCCCACCTCAATAGTGTTTTACTATTAACTGTCATCATTACAGCTAAAATTGTAACTATAGATTCTTGTAACTAAGTAGAAATATAAAGGCCCGTGAAGCCAGTGAAGGAAACATGATCCCCGAAGCTCTCTTATTAATGATCAAGTAGCTATTTCCTTTTTCCTGTTTCATTTAATGCATACCATGATTATACTTTTATCATAAAAACAAATTTAAAAAGCCACATTACTGAATGTGTTGCACATCAATGACAATTGTTTATATATATGTGTTTTCCTCCTAAAAGGAGACCAATGGTGCAATATGATAAACCATATGCCTCTAGGTAGATATTATTTGTCAATTTTTCATTTTACTCTCTTCTGCACCATATCTACAGACCAGTGATCCCAGGCCTGCTTTTGTGACACCCCATTGTGTCAGAGGGCGTTACGAAATTCTCAAAGCAAATTTAATTTACTTTCATGTTCAAAGTAAGTATATGCAATGCCCTGCTTTTAGAAGTGGAAGTTGTTGTAAAACCAAACAATGGTAGGCTGATAGAACGCCAGAAACATTGGCAAATCGCCTATGAACAAAGAATATATTGCACTTGAATACTGTTGCCAGGAAGGGGAACTTAGATTTATTGGGGGCCTTTGTCCCGGGGATGCTGGGTTACGTGTTTCCGCACATTAGCAGAAGTGGGGCGGGAGGCAAAAACAATTTCTAAGTTATTTCATTACTTAAGTAATGCAAATTGAATCGGGGGAGTGTGTTAAAAAGTGGTGCTGGTTCTGGGACCTCCAGGCAGTCTGGCTCATGTGAGGAGAGGGACCTTGACAATAGAATGTACTACTACCAAGCCCAAGGCCTGGGGGCAGGACATGGAGGGGAGCAGCCCTGGCTTGCTCTTAGGATGCACCCTAATCCCAAGAGCATGAAACCAAGCTTGATAGAAAGTCCTAAAAAACAGATGGGCCAAGCTTGGTGGCACATGTCTGTAATCCTAGCACTTTGTGAGGCCAAGGCAGAAGGATTGCTTGGGCCCCAGAAGACCAGCCTGGGCAACAGAGTGAGACCCTGTCTCTAACACAAACAGAAAATGGAAAACAAAAATGAAAACCCCCAAGTCCTTAGAAGATAGCTTCTGTGCTGGGTTCTTGCTTAGTCACGTACTATTTATCTTCCCTTCATTTAACCTCGGTGAGCCTCAGTTTTCTGATGAATGAAATTGGTATAACACCACTTTGCAAAGTTTTGGTGAAGGTTAGTAACATATGATGTGAAATTACTTTGTAAATGAGAAGGCCATACACATACCAGGGGCCATGGTACCCTGGGGGTGACCCTGCGTCCACCGCGTGCCCTCCCTGGCTCCCCTACCTCATGGCCTGAGGGCACTCCAGATACAAGGGGCTAAAAGTTTCTCTTTTCTGTTCTTAAATCTGACTTCACATAAAACACAGTGATTAGTGACAGAAAGGGAAAATAAAGCCGAATTTAAATAATTCATGGGAAACGTGCTGCAGGCAGTACTGGAACTTTGTCATCTGTGTTATTATAGAGGCAGTGGAGTGCCGCCCTGAGGAGTTTGATTTCGGAGACATTGCCTGGCTGGGCTATATTTAGGTATGAGCCTTAAACAGATTTCTTAACCTCTCTGTGCCACAGTTTTCTCATCTGTGAAATGGGGAAATAATAGGATCTATCTCAAGAGGCTTGTGAGAATTAAATTAAAAATGAAAAGTGACTTAGAGTTGTCCCTGGAAACTCAGAAGTGTGTAATTGTTAGCTTTTATTTTTATTATTATAGAACCTTTTCCAAGAATTTTGTATCAGAAACTAGAGTCATATATTTATGTTTTCCTTCCACTTCATAACCTTTTTTATGAGCTATACATTAAGAACCTTGCCTTTGAACTTTTGTAATGATATATGCATACAAACTCGATTACAGAAATATCTGAGCTAAAGAATCCCCAAAAAATTACAGGTGGACTTGTATAATGCTGCATGGATTTAGCAGTAAATTTATTCTTCACTTAGTGGAGAAATACATACATGTGTCTGAAGAACAGAAATGAAAATATATGGGAGAACTAAAATCCTTTAGATGTTTGTGTTTCTGATAATTCTGTCTGAGAGAAACAGAGAGGGATCCTGATATACGTGCACTCACTTGTTCTTTCTAATTCTGTCTGTAGATCTTAGAAATGCAAACGCTACGGTCACATTTGGAAAACAATTAAACATGTCAGTGTAGCAAAAAAAAAAAAAAGAGCTACACAGGAGCAAGTGGCTACCTGGTATTAGGCAGCTGCTCTTGTCTTTTTTTTTTTTTTTTGAGACAGTCTCACTCTGTTGCCCAGGCTGCAGTGCAGTGGTGTGATCTTGGCTCACTGCAGTCCCCACCTCCTGGGTTCAAGCGATTTTCCCAGCCTCCTGACAGAAGGGTCTACGGCCGAATGCCACAACATCCGGCTCACTTTTATATAATTTTTAGTAGAGACCGGGTTTCACCATGTTGGCCAGACTCGTCTTGATCTCCTGGCCTCAAGTGATCTGCCTGCCTTGGCTTCCCAAAGTGCTGGGATTACAGGCATGAGTCACTGTGCCTGGCCTCTTGTCTTAAATTCCCTAGTAATACAAAAATAACTCCTCATTAAGAAAAGCTCAAGAAGAGTTAAGGTTTGTCATCTTGGGATAGTAAAGAGATAGGTAAAATCAACATGTAGGCTTGAAGCATCTGTTTTGCAACCAGTATCCTCACATTGTTGAACTCATGTTGATGATGACTTTGGCATTTCACAAGTTGATATCAGCTGTGTCTACCCTTCCTGGAACTGCCCAGTTTCTGAAACAGAGGTAGGGAGGACTGTTGAGCCATCTTAGCTGCAAGGCTCGGTATAGGAACAGGAGACTACAGGGAAGTAGGGCCTGTGTGTCTTGGGTGCAAACCCATGACCTCATTCATTCACTCACTGGTTCATTTATTCCTTGCACAAATATTTATTGAGTGTGTAAATGTGTGAAGCTATAGTGATGGACAAGGCAAAACTCTTCCTTCCTCAAGATGACAACAGAGTCAATCCAGGAGACTGGAACCTATAGGTGTTATTATAGCAACAAATGCCTCCCTAGACTTAGTGATGAGGTAGAGAGGAGACACACAAACACAATAGAATTAAAGTGAGCAGAGGCAGGAGGAAGGATTCTTGGCACCATTTTTTTTCTCTCACCCAGAGCATCAGAGTTGGGGTAGAGTTGTGGGGAGGAAGAGGGAAAAGAAGGGGACCACTGAAGACTTCCTTTCCCTGAGCTTGTGTGGGGACAATGCTGTGCAGGCTGGCACTGGGCAGCCACATTGGTACTATGTGGTGGGCAGAGCTTCCATGAACTTTTCCCGCTGTGGTTACCTGAGGCTTGGGGAAGACTCACCTTCTTTCCTCCTCTGCTTTTTCTGCCTTTTTTTTTCTTGAGATGGAGTTTCACTCTTTTGCTCAGGCTGGAGCGCAGGAGCGCAATCTCAGCTCACTGCAACCTCCACCTCCCGGGTTCAAGTGATTCTCCTGCCTCAGCCTCCTGAGTAGCTGGGGTTAACAGGCACTCACCACCACTCCCAACTAATTTTTTTATTTTTAGTAGAGACAGGGATTTGCCCTGTTGGCCAGGCTGATCTTGAACCCCTGACCTCAGGTGATCCACCCACCATGGCTTCCCATAGTGCTGGGATTACAGGCACGAATCAACACGCCGGCTGCTTTTTTCCTTTCTCATTTTTTTCTCCCTTTGGTTGTCTGTTTTCTCTCCTTCCATCCCCTTTTACTCTCTTTTGTCTTCTCTTTCTCATTTCTTCTTTGTTTCCTTTCTATTCTTTTATTATTTTTCCCTTTCTTTCTTTCTCTTCCTTTCATTTTTAAAAACCCCCTCTTCTCTTCATAATCTCTATTATCTCACTTTTTCCCTTGTTCCCCTTCTCACCCCCATTTTCCTTTCCTTCTAGTTTTTCCTCCTGGCCCCTCTCCTTCCTCACACAGTTGTATTACTGCAGACAAATGTGCTTGTCAAAGGCCTGCAGGCCCCCTCCCTACCCATCTGTGTGCACATACATCTTTATCGAATTTGTAAGTTGGCCTTATTTCACACCTTGATGGTGTGCCGTAGCCCTGTGAGTTTAGGAATGGAGACCTTTAGACAGGTACAAAACCAAGATTGGGAAACGATGCTCTGAGTACTTTGGCTCCCTGAATTCAACAGAAATCTCCCTTTTCCAGTTCCTGCCTTTATAACTACCTCTGCATTCAACAAGGAGAGAACACGACAAGCTACGTCTCCACACTGGTCTACGCACACAGAGGATGCTGGGTAATTTCGTGTTGTTGTTGGTTTTTTTTTAAAAAAAATCATGTTTTTCCAGTTATATAGTCAAGTCAATGCAAGAGGGTCAACTTGGTTTATGTTTTCTTCTGTTACTTGCTCTTTGACTTTGGCTAAAATATGGACTCTTCATCAGGGTTGGGAAAATACTTGTCCCCTCCTGGTTTTTGTGGGGCTATAAAGAAGTATCTACCTCTCAGGTCCAATCTCCAACAAGAAACAAACTGTATACAAATGAGATTATTTTACGAGCTTATTTTATCAATCATACTAAGGATGCTTCTCTTGCAGTCTTTATGGGACCTTAGACTTCAGCACCACCTCTGTTTGGTGAATTTGAAAGTGACACACATTTCAAGTCAGAGGTTTCTTATGGAAACCTATTGGCACAGGCTGGAAGTCAGCTTCACGCTCAACTGAAATCCATTCTTCTGCCATCAGATAAGGAATACCAGACAGCTGCATGCTTAGGTCCCCACACTGCCCTCACTAGCATAAGACCTTGAACAACTTTTTCCACCTCAGTTTTTTCTTCCTAAAAAATGACTGTTAATAACCTACCACATGAGGTTGGTATGAGCATTTAATGAGAAAATAGCATTGAAGAGATGCCTGAGGCTGGGCCTGGTGGCTCATACCTGTAATCTCGGTACTTTGGGAGGCTGGGGCAGGAGGACTGCTTGAGCCCAGGAGTTTGAGACCAGCCAGGGCAACATAGTGAAAACCGCATCTCTATGAAAAATAAATAATAAAAAAAAGAGATGTCTGGGGTTAGCTGTCTGAAATTGATTGAAACCACATTGTAGGATTTCTTATCTCAATAACTAAAGATACTGTTACCTTTAGTTACTAATTAGCTGTACCTATCATTATTAAAGGTCTTTAAAGCAGATTCTCCAAACACTTCCCATTCAACCTATTGTAACTCATAAGTGTATGGGTAAGAAATTAGCCCATGGAACTGACAATGCAACAAGTTTCTGCTACAATACTCAGAGTTTTTACTATGTCTTGTTTCCCTGAAGAATTGGAAAACTGTGTTGAAGTACAGATTTCTAAAATATTCCACATGTCTGGATGCTCCCCTGGGCGTTCAGTGTCTAGTCACATATAATGTTAGAGATTTCCACAGCTCAGTTTAAGGTGACACTAACTTCTTTCAGAAAAGTACGTCTCAGCCTCCCACTTCTCCTTTCACCTGTGATGTCCAATATAACCGTGATGATTGACTTCAAGTCAAAACTCATCATCATTACTCCAGACCATGCACGTGAGGTGGGTGGAGAGGGTGAGGAATATCCTGGGTACTTTCGTGGAGCAGAACAGCAGAGGTGCTGGCCTAGGTGTTAAGGACTAGCCCTCCTGGGCTCACGTTTTAGGGTTCTCAGGCTCAAGCAAGTGCTTGTTCAATTTATAGAATTCCTTAAGATCAGCAGAATTATCAAGGGCTGGGTTTCTACAAAAACCTGGCCTTCTGTGCACAATTTAGTGATCTGATTAGACAGGGTACAGGATATCCAAACTTCTGCACATTTATGTTGCCCAGAGAGCTCAGTGATGGACTGAAAAGTGGCAGAAAGGTTCTTTGTGATTATCAGTAGTGTTTCACCGTGGTTCAGGGAATGAGAAACCTTAAAGGTGATTGACACGTAACTTGTGAAGATGCACTCACTACCTGCTCCAGTCGGCCAGATGCCCTCGGAGGTGACAGGCTTCCTAAGACTTTCTACAGCGTTAGGCCACCGCTCATTACAGCAAGTGTCATTGTTACTTCTTTTGCTGTAGATACTGTATGGAGTTTAAGACAGAGTCCTTGACTCCTCACTGTGCTCTGGAAAACCGGCCCTTGACTAGATGGATGCAGTATCTCCGAGAGGGATACACGGTGTGTGTGGATTGTCAGCCTCCAGCTATGAACTCTGTGAGCCTTCGTTGTTCCGGAGATGGCCTGGACTCCGATGGGTAAGGAGGGAAATTAACTGAAGTACTTTTCTTGTCACTCATTCTGAGAAACCTGTCCTCTCCATGTCTGGACAGCTGACCAGTATGTAACATATCAAGGGATGACTGGGAAGTCAAAACAGTAGGTGAGGAGGACCATCTTTCTGGCACTGCTAGGGGCCAGGGCTCCAGTTCCCACCATGGAACCCACAGGCCCTATACACCAGCAATGAATATGGATCCATTTGGATATTGGGGGCTGGGAGTGGTGGCTCATGCCTGTAATCCCAGCACTTTGGGAGGCCGAGGCGGGTGGATTACTTGAGCTCAGGAGTTGAGACCAGCCTGGGCAACATGGTAAAACCCCATGTCTACAAAAAATTAAAAATTAGCCTGGCATGGTGGTGCATGCCTGTAGTCTCAGCTACTGGGGAGGCTAGCTGGGAGGGTCACATGAGCCCCGGGAGGCAGAGGTTGCAGTGATCTGAGATCACACCACTGCACTCTGGCATGGGTGATAGAGCTAGACTCCATCTCCAAAAAAAAAAAAAAAAAAAAAAAAGGATATTGGAGTTTAGATCACATTCCCAAATGATCACCAAAAACCTGATCACTCCAACTCCAAAGTGGTGTTCTGAAGATCACTAGAATCAGAATCTCATGAGATGGAGATGTAAAATGTGCAGATTCCTGAACCTCATTTCCTACTAACTGAATCACTCTTTGGAGGTGGATTTTTTAATAATGTCTTAGGTCAGGATCCAGAAAACGTTTTCTGTAAAGGGCCAGAGAGTAGCTATTTTTGGCTTTGTGTGGTCTCTGTGACCACACTGACTTTGTCAACTCTGACTTTGTAGCAGGAAAACAGTCACAGACACTATGCCAACCTTGGATTTGTGCTAACAAAACTTTATTTATGGACCCTAAAATTTGAGTTTCATATAATTTTCATGTGTCACAAAATATCATTATTGTTTCAACACTTTAAAACATAAAAATTATTAACTCACAGTCCAGACACAAAGAAGGGGTAGGCTGGCTTTGGCCTCTACAGGGTCCTAATTTGGGGACCCCTGCCCAGGTAATTCATACCCACGGTGAAGTTTCAGAACTGTTGCTTGGTGGGGCTTCTTCATAAAACCCTGACTGAGACAGTGGTGGGGTCATTTCTGCAGTATAACAATCTTATAAAAATCTGTAGGTTTCTCTGAAAGAATTGACTCCAAAAACGTTTTACCGTCATGCACCTGTATCCCAGTTCTGCACTTATTTAGTGTTTAAATTTGATAACACTATTCAAAACTAAAAGAAGAGTCAACTTCATGCTGGGCAACTATTGGGCAAAGACTAATTTAGGTCACACACAGATTATGGTTTTCAGTATGTCAGGTGAAACTGGTAGAAATACAGATTAAAACGTAAAATATGGGCCTTTCCAGTCAATTATTATTCCTGTAGAATGTTTTCATATTTAATAACTTGTATTTATGTTTATTAGTCACTAGAGCCTCATGGCCCCCACTGAGCACACCATATGAACAATAAAGTGCGCAAGGAATTCATATCAAATAGAAAATATTTACATAATATTTTTCTGAATACCTCATCCATGTTTTGATTTTAAATGAATTTATAATTTATTTTGTACCCATAAAGTATTTACACCCTGGCTGAGGTAGCAGTGACTTTAAAAATAATAATTTTAATCATCTGGCTTTGCTTTTTTCAGCTCTCTCATTGTTTTTTCATTATGAAATCAAAGAGTTGGAAAGCATTAAAAGAGATCATTTAGTTCAGACCCCCCAGTGTAAATACACATGGAACAGTCAGCCATTTTCCTTTATGCAGCACTTGTACTCAAATAGAGCAGGAAAAGCAAATACAGTAACCCCAAGTTACTCTGTCAACATGAGGGTGTCCTAAAGTAGCAATTAATTAAAACTTGCTTTGAGAGAAACTAAACAAGGGAAACTCTGTTTGTGATCATTAAAAAAAAAATGGGGGAACTGGGTGCAGTGGGTCATGTTTCTAATCCCAGCGTGAGCCAGGAGGCCAAGGCAGGAGGATCCCTTGCACCCCGGAGTTTGAGACCAGCTTGGCAACACAGTTAAACTCCATCTCTACAAATAATTTTTCTTTATAAAATTAGCCAGATGTGGTGGCATGCACCTGTGGACCCAGCCACCTTGGAGGCTGGGGTGGGATGACTGCTTGAGGCCAAGAGTTTGAGGCTGCAGTGAGCCATGATTGCACCACTGCACTGCAGCCTAAGCAGCAGAGGGATACCCTGTCTCAAAAAAAAAAAAAAAAAAAAAAAAAAAAAGGAAGGAGGAAGGAGGTAACACAGAGTTTTTAAGTGCATTCCAAATAATTTTTTTTTTTTTTTTGAGACAGGGTTTCACTCTGTCACCCAGGTTGAAGTGCAGCAGTGAGATCATGGCCTCCAACTCCTGGGCTCAAGCAATCCTCCTACCCCAGCCTCCCAAGACCATAGGCATGTGCCACCATGTCTGGCTAATTAAAACAAATAGAGATATAAATTATATCTATATATATTATATATATAATTATAAATATATATATATGTTTTTTTGTAGAGACAGGGTCTCACTGTATTGCTCAGACTGTGATCAGTATTTTTTAACTTCGAGTTTTAATTCTGTAAATTAGACTTTTCTTTGGTATGCTTTTAGTGTAACTAACATTTTCGAAATATCATTTCAGAAATCAGACTCTCCATTGGCAAGCAATTGGTAATCCTCGATGTCAAGGAACTTGGAAAAAAGTTCGGCGAGTAGACCAGTGTTCTTGTCCAGCTGTTCACAGTTTCATTTTTATATAGATGGTGATATAAATATTTCCAAATGCATTTGTAAATGTGCTAAATATTCTCAAGTCATGTTCAATGTTTCCTAAACCTTCAATTTTGGCCAGAGTCCCCAAACACATCATTGCCACACTCTGAAGTAGAGAAAGAAAAATTAGGGGCCAGTTCTCAAGGAACACAGGTCCTTTATTTTTATTTTAACTAAGTTGAAGACCCACTCAAAAAGCTCCTGTGGTTTTATGTTCTTGACCTTTCATCTGGAGTCCTCTCATTCAGCAGGTGGCGTGTGAGACATAGAATACATGTCTGTTTGCTAAAGTAAAATTACTGTAACTCAGTCCAATTATTGGTGACGGAAGTGTCATTTAAGGGGATCTATGTTTTGAATCTTGCAGTCTTTCTTTCTATTTTATAATCTTTTAAAAGCTTCTCCCTTTAAAAAATGTATACACGAATGCACACTCTACACATATATTTCCATATATTTAATATTCCATAAATTTTGAAATAATTTCAAGAAAATTATCACAAATAATTTTTCCACAGGGCAAATTATTTAAATTTTTAGTAAGCATTCTGTAATGAAAAACCAACAGCTATACTGAAAACATTTTTTGAAGAAGAATAAATTTTTTTTCGCATATGTGAAAGGATCAAACGCTCATTCTAGGTCAATGGGAGTTCTTTTAAATGTTATAATTTTCATGAAGAGAAATGTTGGTACCAGTGAATGAAACAATTGCTTTCATTCCGAAAATTCTACCAACATTTGCATCTAAGATTATTTCCAAGGCTTAAAGCCTGAAGCTGAAAAAAATAATCTTTCAAGAGTCCAACTTCAAGTTTAGTTGATGTAAGCTCACTATTTTTTTCCTACCGCATGCATTTTCTAATGTTTGGGGTGGATGGCGTGTCGGTTATGGAAGGCATAGACGTCATTACAGATGCTATGATCTCACACATACACAAGGAAATGTTAGTCTCCTTATTTTATGATTGGAAAATCAATGACCTAGAGGCAAAATGGCATGTTTAAGGACCTGGGATGACAAGTCATTCTGCAGTCAGCCAAAGAGCCAAATTTGGACTCCTCATCCAGGACTCCATGAAAAGCCTGACTTTGCCAAACACTGCACTGGAAAAGCTAAGCCCCTTTCATTTTTGAAGTAAATTTTGAATTCAAGATATTTAGTTTAAAGAATTGAGTCTTGACATGTAAACTACATGAAATTCCTTTGGTTTCAATTGAATAATATTCACTAACAAATGATTTACTAAAATACATATTTCTTGGTCCTTATCATGTAATGACAGATTGACAACAGCAATAGGGATGGAAATTTCCCCAGTAATTAATAACACCGAGAGTGGCAATATTTCTGACTATATTTTCATTTAATTATCAAAGTTGTTTTTGTGGAAAATTAAATTTTTCAGAAATTAGTAATAAAATATGTGAGTCCATCAAGGCTAGCAACTTTAAGTCAGTATTAACATTTTCATACTGTTTCTAACATTCATAAAGCTAGATTTTTGAGGCTATGTCCAGGTAATTTCCAATGTTACTTAAAATTTTTATACTAGTAAATAAACTGTTTGTTCACATTTATAGAAGCTCTATACTTGTTTGACTAGAAAATAACCCAAAATTTCTGGACTAGTCAGAGAATGATAAAATTTCACCAAAAACAAAACAAAAAATCCTTCAGAATTGATAGGTATAGGTACAGCGACTACTAATAGCAATGAAGCAATGGTGCATTTACAGTTCCGATATGTGTTATAACATTTAACATAATTGAGTTGTATAAAATAAATTTTTCACCTTATGCCTTTAATTTTTGGTGGATGACCAGTAATTGCTTTCTTATTGAAGTTAAATTTTTGTCATTTCTATTCTTGAGAAAATTTTATGGGCTAGAAGAGTTAACTTAATGTTAACTAACAGTTTTGAAAAGCTTGTTATTAATTTTAGCAAAGCCCAAGGGAAATAGTTCAGAACTGAAACATGCAGTCCAAGTGATGAATGAAAAACCAAAAGTTTTTATTTCCAAAGTTAAAAATCAAAGTATAAAAGACCTCTTGGCACTCTTTTTTAATAAGTACCTTAGTCTTAGGGCCCTATCCCCAGGCACTCTAAAAAGATTTACGAACTCTAGAATCCCTTATTAGACTCATTTTCAAAAGTGCTCGTGGAAAAGAATTTCAACAAAAATAAATATAGCCACCAGAAAAGAAGCGGAAAGAAGCAAGGGATAAAGGCCATTTTTGAAAAGTGAAAAACAAGTGAAGGAAAAAAAGAACAGAAAAAGGAATAAGGTGAACTATAATCACAGTATTCTTTTTAGAGTTTTGCTTTAGTTTTTATTTGAGAATGTTACAATTAAGCATAAACCACAACAGCAATAATTTAAAGTTTTAGGTTCTCATCTGGCATAAACATTTCAGTTAGCTATCTTTTCTAGATATGCACAAAAATGATATTCGGTTCCTGCCCTCTAAGAATATTCTAGTGAAGGTTCATACAAACAACCACAGGTTGGCTTAGAAAACAAAGACCTGGGCCTTCTGAGGTCCGAGCGATCAGACAAAGAGCACCATGAGGGAGAAGGTCACACTCTAGGTCAGGGTGACAGACAGACACATGTTTACCCTCTCTCCTTCCTCAGATCCCACTGAAGAGACAGGGTTCACAGAAGAGAATAAGTCCATAGCAGATGAGAAGTGAGGTGGGCAGAATCAGCCCACAGATTTTGAATAATTTTTTTGAAAATTGAAAGCAAATGAGAACCTACTGATAGATGAACCAGAATAAAGGGGCCATACCCTTTAACACGGGTACACAAGAAGCTGGAATCACAGGTGAGAGCCATTCTTGGTGGGGCGGTCCCACCAAGCACCAAAGGATGAATAAAAAGACTCTCAGCCCTAGAGACAAATTTGTGAAATTGAAAATGAAGGATAAAGAAAAGACCATAAAACCTTCCAGAGAGAGAACATCAGATTACCTGTAAAGGAACAGGAGTCCTCATGAAGACAGCACTCTTCTCATCAGCATCAGTGCATGCTTAACATCTAACAGAAGAAAGTCTCCAATCTCTGAGGGAAAATGAACGTGAAACTAACATTTGATAGCAGCTATCACTAATAAAGTGTGAAAGCAACATGCAGACTTTTAAAGGCACAAGGATTGGAAGCTTTATTAAAATGTCCTAAGCAGGACATTCTTTTTTCTGGTTAAACATGGCAGGTTGGACACATGTATTTATGTGCCAATTCCCACTAAAATTACAGTTAAGGGATTTTCAAAGCCATCCCCCCACCAAAACAACAACAAAGCCCATATATAATGAGGAGGTCAAGAGAGAAAAAGCAGAAGAGATGGCCACAACATTTCAGGGCCAGAAAAGATGGCTATTAAAATCGGAGGATAAAGCCAAACACCTAGATCTATGGGTGAATTTGAGTAAGCAAGGTAATTTCTAGCACTCTGGAAAGGCTCTGGAACTGAAGGTTCCAGGTATTTCCTTCAATGGAATGAATGGCTGATGGTTGGTCTAAGTCAGAGCCTTAGATTCCCTCCCCCATGCTGTAGGTCAACAGCCTGACCGAAGGTTCAGTCTATGGAGGAGTTTGGATTGGAAACACCAGTCACAAAGACTGAGAATGAAGCCTGAGTGAAAGTCTATTCTGACTGGTGACCCCCAGTTCCCTTTTCCATGTGCTCTGAGAATATTGCAAGCAGGGATAGATATGCCCCTCCTTCACTCCCTCACTGCCATTCTCATCCCTACACACCAGTTTGTTAGATTCCTCTCTGAGGAAGTGGATTATCCAAGAGAAATGACAACAGGTGTTGACAGTTGATGGTCCCCTAATGAAGGAGCCATGTCCCTGTCTAATCACTATACAGGCATATCGCTACCTGGATGTCTTTGTTCAGGCTGCTATATATTAAAAAAAAAAAAAAATACCATAGATTGGGTGGTTTAAACAACAAACATTTATTTCTCACACCTCTGGAGGCAGGAAAGTCCAAGATGAAGGTACCAGTAGATCTGATAACCAGTGAGGGCCCTCTCCTTGGTTTGGAGATGGATGCCTTCTCGCTGTCTTCAGATAGCATGGAGAGAGACAGAGGGAGAGAAAGAGAGAGAAGAGAGAGAGATGGGACAGGAGGAAAGAGAAAGAGGAGAGTAAGCGGGGAAAGCTTTTTCATGTCCCTTCTTATAAGGGCACTAATTTTATCATCAGGGCTCTATCCTCATGACTTCATTACTTCCCAAAGGCCCATCACCAAGTTCCATCATATTTGGGATAAAGGTTTGAACATACGAATTTTGCGGGGACACAACCATGCAGTCCATAACATTTGACATGTCCCATCAGCGCTCACAGAACTTGAATCAGCTTTTTAACTTTTTTTAAGTATTATTTATGTATTTAGAGGTGGTAACTTGCTATGTTGTCCAGATTGGTCTGAAACTCCTGGACTCAAGTGATCCTCCCACCTCAGCCTCCTGAGTCACTGGATTATAGACATGAACCACCTCATCTGGCTTCAATCAACTTTTTTGTTCTTGTCCATAAATATAAATGGACAGCACAGGACAACCAGACATTTCAGAAAAACCACTAACAAGAGCAACCAAAATTAAACATGAAGAAACAAGCAATATAACAAAACTCAGAGTAAATAAATCACTGATCACTACCAGGAATGAAGAGATGACATGATAAATCATAGAATAAGGACAGGATGCTCTAAAAAGGGAATATTTAAAGCTCTTGAAGATTAAAAAGTGTAATAGTCATATATAAATGTTATGAAAATTTATAACATAAAGCTTAATGCCATTTTCCCCAGAAAGTAAACAAATTACAGACACAGAAATTAGGAGATAATATATGAGGACATCTGAGAATCAGTCAAAGAGATATAACACCTGAATAATGGGAGCATGTCAAAGTCTACTGAGTGACAGTCTCCTTACTTTACAAAGAAAGGCTGGCCCAGTACAGTGGCTCACACCTATAATCCCAGCACATTGGGAGGCCAAAGTGGGTGGATCACTTGAGCCCAGGAATTTGAGACCAGCCTAGGCAACATGGCGAGGCCTGTTTCTATAGAAGTTTTTTTTAATTTTTTTCTTTTTATTATACTTTTTAAGTTCTAGGGTACATGTACACAACATGCAGATTTGTTACATATGTATACATGTGCCATGTTGATTTGCTGCACCCATTAACTCGTCATTTACATTAGGTATTTTTCCTAATGCTATCCCTCCATCGCCTCACCCAACAACAGGCCCTGGTGTGTGATGTTCCCCAACTTGGGTACAAGTGTTCTCATTGTTCAGTTCCCACCTATGAGTGAGAACATGTGGTGTTTGGTTTACTGTCATTGAGACAGTTTGCTCAGAATGATGGTTTCCAGCTTCATCCATGTTCCTACAAAGACATGAACTCATCCTTTTTTATGGCTGCATAGTATTCCATGGTGTATAGTTGGCCAGCATTCTAATCGCAGTCTCATTGGATGGAGCAATTTGTGGTTGGTTCCAAGTCTTTGCTGTTGTGAATAGTGCGTGGCAAGTAACATCATGTGAGTGTTTTATAGTAGCATGATTTGTATACCTTTGTGGGTATTATGTACCCGATAATGGGGATCTGGGTCATGCGGTATTTCTAGTTTTAGTCTGTGGATTGGGCACAGCTGTCTTCCACATGGGTTGACTAGTTTACCTTCGCACCCAACAGGCAAAGTGTTTCTCTTTCGTGCGCACATCCTCTCAGCATCTGTTGTTTCCTGACTTTTTAATGATTGCCGATTCTAAACTGTGTGGAATGCTATGTCATTGTGGTGTTTTTGGTGTAGCACTGTGTCTAGAAAATCGGGACAGGTGATGAAATTTTTTTCGATGTGTCTGTTGGCTCTAAATGTCTTCTTTTTGGGTAAAGTGCCTGTTGTTCGTTGTTGGTTGTGTGAATTTTTTTTGTAAACTTGTTGTAATTCTTTTGTGTTGGATAATTAGCCTTGTCAGTTGGTGTTGAATTGTATTAAATTTTCCTCCTATTTCTGTAGGTGCCTGTTCACGTCCTGGATGGTAAGTCTGATGTGCCAAAGTCTTGTGGTTGTCTCTTTGTTGCATTGCTTTTAGTGTTTATCCTGAACGGTACTTGCCATGCCTTGTTTCCTGACTGGTATTGCCTAGTTTTGCTTCTGCGGTTTTTTATGGTTTCGATCTACATTTAGTCCTTAATCCATTTTGAATTAATTTTCGATATAAGTGTAAGGAAGGGATCCAGTTTCAGCTCTCGTACGATATGGCTAGCCAGTGTTTCCCAGCACATTTATTAAGATAGGGATCCTTTCCCAGTTGCTTTTGTTGCAGATTTGTTCACAGGATCGCACCATGGTTGAGATGTGTGGTTACTGTTTCTGAGGGCCTCTGTTCTGGTCCATTGATTTGTACTCTTCTGTTTTGGGTACCAGTACCATGGCTGTTTGTGTGTTACTGTAGCTCATTGTAGTATAGTTTGAAGGTCAGGTAGCTGTTGCGATGCCTCAGCTTTGTTTTTTGAGCTTGAGAGATCTCGTCTTGGCAAATGCGGGCTCTTTTGTGTGTGTGGATCCATTTGAACTGTTAAGGTAGTTTTTTGCCATTCTGGGATGAAGAAAGCCATTGGTGCCTTGATCGTTGGATGGCATGAATCTCTAAATTTACCTTGGGCAGTTTATGGCATTTTGCACGAATTCGCTGATTCTTCTCGCTCATCCAGTGAGCATTGGAAGTTTTCTTTGGTGTTTGGTGTTGTTATGTGCACTGAGGCGCCAGTGGTTTGTGAGTTTCCCCTGTGGAAAAAGGTCTTACATCGCCTTGTAAGTTGGATTCCTAGGTATTTTATTCTCTTTGTTGCAATTGTGAATGGGAGTTCACTCATGATTTGGCTCTCTGTTTGTCTGTTACTGATGTATAGGGATGCTTGTGATTTTTGCACATTAATTTCGTATCCTGAGACTTGGCTGAAGTTGCTCATCAGCTTAAGGAGATATTGGCCTGAGACGATGGGGTTTTCTAAATATACAATCATGTCATCTGCAATCAGGGACAATTTAATTTCTTCTATTCCTAACTGAATACCTTTTATTTCTTTCTCTTGCCTGATTGCCCTGGCCAGAACTTCCAACA